ACAACTTTGGTTAAGTGTTTATCCCAGTCAATGTGGTCAAGCTTGACAGCTTATATCATCTGTTACACTGAACCATCAGACAAGGGTGATAAAGTGAACTGTGCATCTTCACCACACCCAACACTTTACACAGTTGGTTGTTAAAGTTAGCTCCCTGATCCATGTGGATCTCTTCAGATACGCCAAACAGCGTTATCCAATGCTTTACCAAAGTATCAGCACAGACTGTATAGATATATAAATCAATAGATAAGCCTCTGCTCGCTTTCTGAAGAAATCAATGACTATGAGTATATACAGGTGACCTTGTTCTGTGCCTGACATCATGCCAGCAATATCTAGGGATATTCTCTGTAGAGAAGAACCAACAATTCTTTGCTGGAGTTTACCTTGTTTAGGATGACTTTTCCTCTGGGTGGCATACATCATACAGTGTTTACACCAGCACTGAATATCTTGACTTGAATGTGCCATCAAATTTTAGCACAATTCTTTGTAACACCGTCTTGTGCTCCAATCTTTGTGTTATGCAAAGTCTGGAGAATATAATCATTAAAAGCTCTTGGGACTATAGGCTGAAAAAACTGCTTTCTGGTTGATAACAATGGTATAGCACAACTTTCTGCATTTATAAGTGTTCATACAAGTGTCACAGATTAGGTGCATCCATCCTGTATTCGTGAATCTGCTGCATAGCAAGGAGTACCCACGTTAAGACCTGGGTTCTTCAATGACTCTTCTCAAAGCTCCCAAAGTGATAATCATGGCATCCATCCACTAGTGGAATCTCCTACTGTATGGCTCGTCATTGATATGACAGAAATGTTTTCAACGCTCACACGATGTTCAGAATCACTCAAACAGAGAAACTTTTACCATAGAAGTAGTGAACAACTGGATATTTTTGAGGGAATTTTTACAATTGCTTCAGTACTTTAACATTTTAAAAGAATTTAAGAAAGAATTTATAACGACTTTCTGAGTCTTTAAGTGAACATGTACATGAAGAAATGGTGTAAGTAAAAGACGCCTGTGTTACGAAATAAGGTCAAGAACTAGGAAACTACAGCTAGTTGGTTAAATTGTATTGAGAATCACGAGTTAAGAGTTATAGAAAATGAAACTACAACAGACATGTTGAGAAACACGCAAGCCATAAGTTTGACAGTGATAAGTTACCAACACCAAGTTAGTAGTACAGTAAAGGCTACTAAAAAGTTTATGATAACATCTCAAATCGGCGCTTTGATGCGAGATCTGTTACTCTAGACCAGTGTAAAAGTACAAGTAAAAAGGCAACCGAAGTACTCACCATCACAATAACCAATTACTTTAAGAGTTTTGTTTGTTGTTTTTGATTGGCCGGGGAGGTGCACAGATTGACCAATAAAGTGTTAGAACTACTTGCGGGTAGTTAGGAATACTATTTGAAAAATCAAAAGAATACAAAAAATATGGTTTAAAAATTCGTACCTGGAGCTAAAAATCAGTTCTCTCCAAGAAGAATTGAGATTCTCCCCAGAGTTACTGGTAATCCAGAAGCTACGAAAATTTCCCAGCTGCAAAGATTTACCAGATCAACTATGTTGTAAGTAATGAAACTATTTCTTTCTTAATCAATTAATGTGAATTTGGATAGATTCTAAAGAAGCATATAAAACTAAGAAACTTGATGTTATATATGAGTTATAATTATTAGTGTTGTTAACCCAAACGTGTTATTTTATGAAAAGTTAATAAATGATTAAAGAAGTGTATTTTATGTTAAGAAGCTTAAATAAACTTGATGTATTGTGTTGAATATCAGTCTCAGGATCAGTTTTTTAGTCTAACCGTAAATCTCCTCGAATTAGCGACTTGTGAACTCCACTCGCCACTGCAATTCTCAACTAAATAAAGTTGGTGTAATTAGCAGTATAGTCGAAGCTCCAACGACTAGCCCTAAAGTTGCTGTCCATTACAGTAGTGTAGGAAATTTTTACAAAGACAACAGCTGCTGGTACTTCTTTCTTCATTGCAAATTATCTGTGTTCAGGAACCGTGATTGTATAGCTAGCATAAGTGATTACATGATTCACTTCATCCAGTAATTGCGATAACACTGCTCTGATACAACTAATACTGGCTTCAGTGTCTATGTCTAACAGGAACTCGCAAACTTGTTGTAGACATGTCAAGATCAGGGATTCTACTAAAGCACACTCCAAAAGCTGTCATACTTGCTCACGTTCTTTGCTCTATATAAAGTATGTTTCTGTCTTTGTTAGAGCCAATAATGAGGAGAAAATCTTGAACTTAAAACTCAAACCATTAGTAATACAATGCAAAACCAAAAAACTGTGAACTTCTTATTTGGACACAAGTTGGGGCCAATTTTGACCTGTGATATTTTTGCAGGGACCTTGGTGATTCCTTCTCTACCCACGGTGTCACCAAGAAATGACACTTATATGAACATAAAAACATACTTTTTTGGTTTCAGATTCAAGCTTGCTCTGTTTATCCATTGGAATACTATATTTAGGTTCTCAGCTATAGATTTGAACAAACAACCAAACAAGAAGACATTTTCGACATAGATAAGGCACTTTTCTCATTGAAACATTCAATGTAAACTCCATTAGCCTTTCAGAAATAGCAGGTGTGTTACACAAGCTGAACAGCATTACACAAAACTCATACAAGCCAACTCTCATGCTAAAAGAAGCCTTAGGTCAGCCCTTATCATCCAGCTTGACTTGCCAGTATCTCGAAGCTGGGTATAATATATATTGAAATAACGAGTCTCTTCAAATATGTATAGAATTCCACTACCCACTATAATGGAAAGATATCAAAGTACCTTACTACCCCATCAATCTAAAATCAATGTGACACCTTAGCATGCATTCCATCCTCCTGATAATGACCAAGCAGTCTGTGAAGGCTGTATTATCCTGTCCTTTAACATTCACTATACTTCAGTATTGGATACGTCCATAGCACTCTAGGGTAGCTTGCATGATGATTATTTAATTGGACATGCATCATCTTTATGCGCTGTTGTGTGATTGTTGTTCTACCCAGTTGGCTATCTGGTCCCATAAATATACCAGCATATTCTACCAACAGGTCATTGAGTTGAGCTATTGCTGCATTGAGTCCTCAACTATAATTTTCAAATCTGTTGATATCAATATATTTACTCCTGGATATGGTATGACAGTTCCAGTCCTAGTATTACTACTAGCGTTGGTAATTTCCACTTTGCTTGCTGTGACAGTGACTATTCCAACATATAGTTGAATAACCAATTTTTCATGATTACAGAATATCCCTGGGATTTCACACTTCTCCCCTGCTCTAGGGTGGCAGCTCATCCATTAACTTTGCTCGACCCCAGACTCCTTTGCGAGACATGGTTATGTTGGCAGTATACCTCCTGACTTTGGAAGTCTGGTGAAATAACTTATGTTGATAGATACCAACAGAAACTCCATTCTCTTTTGATATTTCCAGGTAACTTAGACCAGAGTTGAAGTTGTATTACTCTAACTAGCATAAGTCTGTGAAACATATAAAGACTACCACTCTCTGTCTCAGAATGACCACACACCATAATATCACAATGATTCTCGCTTGTATATATTTCCCTTCCATTGATACTGATTCTCACAGGATGAGCATGGACAGCTATACTGGGTACACCAGACATCGTTGGCTATTCTTCCTGAGCAGTAAGTTGTAATGAGATAGACGTCATAAACCTTCACATCATCAAAATAAGTCTTATGTCCAGAACAGGACTTGTTTTAGACCTAATTACTCTCGTGGACAACCATCTCTCCTCAATGACCGACTCTCTCTCTCTCTTGGCCATAAGTTCTTCTAATTGTGTAAAATTCCACTTCCTATAACTAAAAAGCATTTTTAAACTTAAAGCACAATAATTCAAGTAAAGGACAGTACAAAGTTCACAGATATAGCAAACTCCACAATTACCCAGTAATCACATCGAAATTGTCTCCTTCCTATTCACAGTGTGATATATGCAGGTAAAATTGGATTAACCTTAAATCAATGGAATAGATCCACTTAGTAACAGGAGATGTGGCAAAAATACTGCTTATGAAATAATACTAAATCTCTCAGTGCCTGAGTCATGAAAATAAATGAAATAAAGAAACTGGATGCAAAGTTAAATGTAAAATAAACAATCTTTATTATAACAGTCGCAAAACCCAAACACAGTATATGTACTTGTTTTTACTTATTCTGAGCAATCGCTTCTACTAAATCTTCTGTATTTAACTCTTACAGTTGAATTCATTTAGCTAAATGCAATATTCATTAGTTTGAAAGAAATGACACATTTATCCAGAGTGACTAGCACTAACCATGTGATAGTCACTGTCATGTAAACATAGACGAGACCATAACCTCGAGATATCACCTGGATGACCATTGAAGGACACAGCCGCTGACATCCTTGCACAATGTGCAGTACTGCAGCAATCTTAGGCAGAACAGGTACTAACTACTAACAAGAGAACAAAAAAGGATCAAAGGTAGCTCAGAACAAAATCAAGTTAGCGGCTGTCTACAGTCTAGACCACTTCCTATGTGAAACCTGCAAATATACAGAATAAATGATATATTCAAAATAAAAAATATAATATTACAAGAAAATAGAAATGCATGCCATATACCACACATATATATATAGTCATATACCACAGAGGTTCAATAATACCTTGAAGAATTTCTAAGGAATAAAAGAGCAGACGTGAAAGTTTTCAAAAGGCCACAATATTGTGTAAACGTTTCTTTTAAGCTCTATTCTCAAGAAGATTATGCTAAACTGAATAACAAATTTAATAGAATTGGCAGTATTGAATATATGAATAACAGATAAATTATTAATTCTAAAGGCAATATAAAAAAAAAGGAAAATAAATCTAACTCTTTCCGATTTCAAATGCTCAATATATCTTTTCCCCTTCAATCATCCCTCTATAGGTGAAGTAGAGAACGAAATTTACCCATGCTGCATTGCTACGGTCTCTATCACCGTGTACGCGAAATAGGTTGAGGTAGGCTTTGTAGATGTAAAACCATTTGTAGTTTTTATATAATTTAAAATATAATATATCGATAATAATAGTATTTTAGTAACGTTTATGGACACATTGTGATATTAGTTAAGTTTTATTGTTGTTAAAAAGCAAGCTTTAATAGATTAGGTTTGATTGAAAGGGAATCATGCCTGGTGTTGGTGTGTGGTTGGCAATGGCTATTGACTTGCACTTTGATAAAGTCACAGGAATTTGTAATTTTAGTGCAGACGTGTTACTGTGAGGAATGTGTTTTGTTGACTTTAATATTTCTTGAAACATCAAAAGAAATTGTCTTTTCGATGGGCTGTCGTACAAATCTTAATAGGGCATTTTTAGGGCTGATAGTAGAGCTAGTTAAAATGAACCAAGCAATAATAGAATAGCATTTAAAACTTTACAAGTAGTGAAAATACCTTTGGCCTTTTGTTCATGTTACTTTTTATTGATTCCCTGTTTCACTAGCATATTTCCTCAATATTTTATTAAAATTATATACCCAAATATTTGAAAAAATAAGTACGTTATAAATTAATAGCTTGAAAACGTTTTGTGACAATTTTACTTTGAAACATTTAATGCATGTCCAAGACTGTAGACATCATATACTCTAGTGATTATAATTTAGGTAATGTTAAGTTACCAGTTATGTATACCAAATAAATTCTATCTCAAAGTGGCACAAGTTTGACTGGCATTAGCACCAAGAAATATCGGACATTATTTGCATCAGAAAGTTAACTTGTTTTATTGTAGTGGTTATACATGTATTTTTGCCAGACTTAATGCAGTTTCAGGGGCTACAATTATGCAGGTAGTGAAAATGTTTGAGAGGAAGGATACTATATTGTTGCAATTTCTATACTTCCCAACTTCGTTATAAGCCATGTGTTATATATAAAACACAAAAAAGTATAATGTAGTTACTTAGGGGTCTGTGAAACAAGCTGTGGTTCAAAATGCTAACACAACTATCTCTGTTTATTTATTAATGACATATCCTAAACAATGATAGTTATCCAGTGGTTTAAGTATAGAAACAAAAAGTTTTGAACCTTCTACAATTTGTCCCAAAAGGTTTTGGAGGTATTTGTGATATTGGGGGTTGGTGGGGCAGTTCAGTTTCACCCTTAATACAAATAAAAAGTTATGTGGCCAAGCGTATAAATTAACAATTACACTTGGCCATCTTGTACAATTGTTTGTAAGAGTTAATGTTAGTTCAGTATTGTAATGTAAACATGTAATATTTTTATATTGCCACCTAGCAACAAGTGGAGTTTAGCTGTTCCATTTAACAGGGGCCAGTTTGTTTTATTGATATAATAATTTACCATATTATTGAAAGTTACCAACAAACAGCACAAGAAATATTTCATGTAAATAAGGAAAAAGCATGGGTTGAGTATGACCATCCAATGATCACCTGGAAACTAAGGGTTGGTAAAGGCAACTAGGATGAGCAAGTGTTATTCAACTGTCCTTCAGTATTTATTGGATGTTTTTATCAGTTTATATTATGTCAAAAACCTAAATGATGGCTGGAATATTTTTGACTATGATGTGAAGAAAACAAACTGGTCTGACTACAAATGCTTTTCTCAGTAGGACTTGACACTCATGTAAACATTTCTGTACCTCTGAAAAATATTTTGGTACATTTTTATTAATATGAAAAACATTACATATTTTTAATGGAACTCTAGAGTTATTATGGCAGAACATGGTTGCAATTGAGACTTAAAAATTCAAAAATACATGTTTGTGCATGCATAGCACTAGTGGCATAAATTTAACCATTGAAATCTTGTTTTGACTAATGTAAGTATAACCACTACCTATATTTATTATATTTCTATACTTTTATAGTTTTGTGAAAAAGCAGTGTAAGTTATTCAAAAAGGTCATTTTTAATGCCAATAAGAAAGAAAAACATCAAAATCATAACCCATTGAAACTCACAAAAACAAAATGCAATTAAATTCTGTGGATTTGAGGTTTATTTAAAATGTTAGTCAAGGCCTAATAGTTTGATATTTAAAATTCTTTTTTCTGGTGGGTTGGTTAACAAATTCAACATCATGCAGTCTGTGTTGGTTACTTCCATACAGTTATGATTATAGCTTATAATGAGGCAATTAGCAGGGAAAACAGAGATAGAACAGAATATGAATTTTACAATGCTTCATTGTAATTTTATAAATTTTTCTTTTCCACTGTGGTTAATAGGCTTTCTAGGCCAGGCTTAAAAACATTTTTGTTTGCTACAACCCTAAACCGATTTAAAATGTGAGAAGGTAAAATATAATGCATGAAACCAGGAATACAGTTACTATCAACATTAATTCTATTAACTCTCTCAGCACAGGCTCGGTCCCTAGGACCGACCTTGTAATCATTTTGTGCTTATTATAGTTTTCATGCTATAACTTTTAAATTAGTAAGCATGTGCTAACGAAATATGACAGGTTGTCAGTAAATATTACAATGCTTTCTTATGCAGAATATTAATTTTTTTAATTAAGTCTTAAGGTTTGTAAAACAATGTTTTTCTCATGGCTTTTTTTTTTTTTATCACTTGTTGTCTATCCAACATGCAAAGTAATTTTCACTTTAAGATTAAAAATACTTTTGTGCATCAGAAAATGTTCAAATTTCACATGTGAAATCTTTATAATGTCCAGATAGTTATCAAATGTTTCTTAAGAAAAAAAACTGTCTGTTATTTTCAGTAACGAATCTGTATATGTTTAGTCGATTTGTCTGATCTCGTATCCATATTAAAAAAATTAGGAAATATAAATTATGCCTTTTTCATTATAGAATCACTACAAATTTTAACATGAAAACATGAATGTTTAGATTGAATAGCTTAAATCTCATAACATTATACATTTATATATATTTATTATTTTTATTATATTGCCCTTTTAGCCATGCCAGGCTAACAATACAGAAGTTACAATGACATTGTGCACATGCACTCATGTTACCGTATCCAATAATATAAAACTGATCTTTAGTCATTACAAAGTGACCTGTCTTGGCTGTGTTTTAGTAGACTAGTATTTTGTAAAATACTCACATTTCAATTATTATACATTATATATGTATATAGATTATTGCTATTTAGAAATAACTTATTGAACTTATTTTTCTTGAAACATACAACAGTAAATTAAAGAAGTAAAGCAAACAATTAACTCTTCTAGTTACAACCTTTGTACTCGGTTGCTGCTTGACATAGGTTCCTAAGCCTTTTAAAGTCTTGCACGTGGAGGATATAAAACGAAATAATGTTTTTAGGTTTTATGTGTATACAGTTGAATAACCAAAAAATCATAAATTACTATATCAATATCATAGAATTCAACTATAATTTATCTTAGTAACTAAGATGTAATACGAAATTTTGAGCAGACTAAAGACACAACCTACCTCCTTGAAATCTTGGTTCGAAAAAAAGAGATGGCGTTCAAACACATTAAAATGGCAGAGAAAGCCACTAGGGGGACATTCTCAGCTTCCGATTGGTTATTCATGTCATATATAGAAGTAAATGTATATAAGGGAGCATTTCCAAAAGTGGAAAGAGGTGAGCGGGGCCACTGTTTTTGAGTCAGTAATAATTGTTATCTCAGCAGGTAGAAAAGATATGAGGTGCTTATTTTATATTCTAACTTGTCAATATTGGTAATTTGAGTTCCTAATTCGTATGAAACAATAGACTTAGTATTTTTGGCATCACAAACATATAATTTGAACCAGTTCTGCATTGAACATACCACATGACACACAAAAATTGATGTTTAACTGTTTTTCTAATATTTACTTTTAAGTTAAGAAATTGAGTTGAATTGACTATTGCTAACATTTTACTGTTTTTTCTTCCATTCATCTCTTTTGCCAAGTAAATCTACAAGTACTTCTCTCCATGTGAATAAGATTTCAATTGGAATTTGCTTTGATTCTAATCCTCAATCTGTGAGAACGTTTTTTGGAAACATACAATGAACAGACTTGTGTTTACCATGTGTTGATGTATGATCCTCAATAGTAAATTTTACCCTGCTGGGTCATGTATTTATTAGTTTAGTGGGAATGGTCCCGGGTGCAAGATTAGTCATGTTGTTAAACCTCAATGCATTGTCCAATTGGCATTGAGCTGTCAAATCGTAATTTAGTTATGCCTTCCCACATCATCATGGACTACATGAATTTCTGGGAAAAAGATATTCTAGCCATAATACAGCAATAACATTTTTTATAAAGTCAGCAACTTTTGTTAGATGGGTTGGTATATTAGCAAAAGTAAAATAACCTGGGTCATAATGTCTTTCAGTCAGCCCCATTTCAAACAATCAGTCGAGTTACATCCAACAGAAATTTTTTTAAGCCTAGACCTACTTGCTAATTTGTAACAGTAGCCAGAAGTGGCAAGTGTAATTTAACATGAAGCTAGTGTTGTTTTCTTTCTCAAACCTAGTACATTTTTTCATGGCTCTCAATAATAAATTCATACAAATTTCACATAATTGAGTGAAATTAAACATGGTTTTCTTATGGTTTTTTTTTTTCTTTGCTTCAATGCTGCAAAATATCTTCACTCTACAGACACTGTGATTTTTTTTTTGACTTCCATGAAAAGCTTATCAGAAGTAAGCTGTGGGAAAATCTTGTTGGTCATCGTAATCTACTGATCAGAGATGATTATAATTAATAACTTTACAAAAAAATGTGTTAAATGTAAAGAAGGACATTATGAAAGGTGAATATAAGCAAGACTGATTAACTTTTATAGTATGGCAAGAAATTAGATTCAATTCACTATGTAGATACTGCTGTTTCAGATTTTCATCAGGGTATGATTGCGTTAGGCAGAGCAGTCCACATGTGTGGTGCAAGCACTTCTGAATTTGTAGATACATCTACTTAGGTGCAATTAAAAGTATAGACAGTTAAAACCTACTCTGGTATTTTATTAAATGTTAAGAGGATATTTCTGTATAATAGAAAATCAACATAAAGTAACATGATCAACAGTAGGGTGAAGAGAGTTAAGGTTGCTTAATTAATGCCAATATAATGGACAAGGTTTTTCAATTCCTTTAGAGTCAAAATGCTCCTGACATCCCTTCTCAGCCTTGGTGTAATAAAAATTATATTTGAGATTTTATTTTCAATCAATTTTATTTATATATGATAATTTGAGCTTATAGTTATGCTTTTATAATTCCATCCTTTTGCATTTAGTGCAAAAGAGAATTCTATTTAGAATAAAAATCAAATTTTAAATGTTTATTTTTTGTTAGTATATTTTTTATAAAAGACATGGGTCATCAGAAGCATTCTCATATCACAGAACTTTAAACTTTGGTTAGCTTCAGGTAAATGGAAATAATTTATAAAAGCACTTAAATATTGTTCTATGTTAGTAATTTGTACATTTTAGTAGAAGTTTAGGGCTATACATACAAGTCAAAATGTAAAATCTGAACAACTATAGGCATAATGAACAAATTCACATGTAATTAAATGTATGAAAATGTGTATGTAACTATTTTGTAAATGCTATCAGTGATTCTTACTGGTGAAATGACAATACCTTGGGTCTGTGGGTAAGAGAGCATTCTTTATGGTAAAAATCAAGTTTCATATCAGTTAAAAGAAATTACTATGTTCAATTTAGTAAAACAAATTTAACTCATTAAATTATATATTTTTGTCAGTGATTCTTTTATATGCTGTGAAATCAGTTTCTAAACATAACCTTAGTATAGGGGGTGTGCATGAATGTCTTTGGTTATTGAAGGGATCTTTGAGATAAAAAATGTTGAGAACAACTTTTGTAGTTAAGGCTAGCTAAAGTTTTAATCTTCTAAAGCTTAACTTTTAATAAGCCAGTAATCATCCTGGACTGTGGTGAATTCAATGTCAAGAATTATAGTCAAGGTTAAAAGTATTATTAGAAAATACATTGCATATTTGAAGTGATCCATTATTATTCCCATTTAAATCAATACTATTGTCAGTCTGTATCATATGATGAAGAGCCAATTCTAAAATTAACTGGTAATAGTATTCATAAAAATGTGAAGTTAAAAATACTAACTGATTTTATTGTATAGTTATTAAATCAAAAATATAACATGTTTTAATGCAATTAAGATAAGTTTTTGATAGTTTGTACACAAAGTGTCTACTTAGCAGATTTAATAAAGCATAAAGTTTTGCTCTTTTAATAATGTAATTTTTATAATTTTAATATATAAAAACTGGGATAGGCCAGAATAATTTTTCTAAGAATTTAGTTTTTGTCATTACAAAAAAAATTAAAAAGGAGAGACTATTCTAAATTGAACTGAAATATTAATGAGTAAGAGAAATTGGAGGAATGTGTAACAACCTTTGTGAATAACTTATGAAACTAAGTGCTTGTATAAGAATTTGATAAACTAACTACTAAATCTTTCAGTGCCACCTTAGTGGAAAGGATGGCTGAGACAAAGGCAGAAAAAACGAACTTAGTTGCTCCTGTGAAAGCAAAACAATCTCTTAAGCCTGGAAGGTGAGTTTTTTATGCATTGTTTATTAAATCTTTCAGCACGGCCTCGGTCCATCGGACCGACCTCGTAACCATTTTGTGCTTGTTATACTTTTCATGCTATAACTTATAAATTAGTGAGCATGTATTAACAAAATTGGCAAATTATAAGTAAGCATTAAAATTCTTTCATATCAAGTTTTTTTTATTAAAAGTCTTAAGATTTGTAAAGCTGTGTTTTTTTTCTTTTTACATGTTGCTTATCAATCATGCATCAGAAAATTTTCATATTTCACATGCAAAGTCTATCATATCCAGATAGTTATCAAACATTTCTTAGGAAAAACTTCATATTTTATCTGTTATTTTCAGTAACTAATCTTTGTACGGTTTGGTACATTTGACTGATCTCGCAACCACCATAAAAAA